CAAACACATCAAAATTTAAACATTCTTAGAATTTAAAAAATAAACATTCAAATAACATTTAAAATAAGAAACGTTTTTGTAACCTTTTAATAATATTCTGATCACAACAAGAAAACTGGACATTTGAACATTTTAGAAACATTGTTCCCACAACGTTTTAATAAGCTAAATTTGTTGGCTGGGTTGATTTCAGTGAATGGTTTGAATGAGAGATCTGGTATAATCAGGTTTTGCTGCTGGATGTTCGGATGACTGAATGTCCAGTAATAATTACACCGGACAGTAAAAACAGCCATCCCATCAGGCCCTGCACAGCGGGAATGTTGCTGTTCACATTCCATACTGTCCCGCAAACACACACACACACACTGATTCAATCAAGCATCACATCCAAAACAGAGCCCACCTGATAGTGTGATGGGCACAAATGAGAACATGAATGTACCCGTGAAAACACACTGCAGAGCTGGAACTGAACATTCAGTGATCCCCAAACAACAGTCACTTAAGTGGCACTTAAAAATATCTGAATGTCATTGATGCAAAATATCAAAGAGCATGCCATTTAACAGAAACATTGTCCTTTACTCAACAAATGCATTTTAAATACACTGAGAAGCTCTCATTAGAAACTTCCTCAATGTGGCTTCTGGTCGCTAAACATAATAGTTTATACAGTGCAGTATGTAACTATGTGACTGTTCATATCAAAATGTAAACTATATTGTCACCCAGCTCTGATCTGCTAAATTTTTATTTATTTTTTTATTTATTTAGTCATTTATCAGACGCTTTTATCCAAAGTGACTTACAAATGAGGACAACAGAAGCAATCAATTGTAGTATTAAAACTTAAAAATAAAGAGATTAAATAAAAAATGACAAATGCATACAACAAAATTTCAAAACGTAACATTTTAATGAAAAACAAAAAATAAAGCTAGAAACAATTAAAAATATTAAAGAACAAAAGGTATAAGAGTATAATAAGCAAATTTACAGTTGCTAAATGCAACTATAAGGCATGCGGATAATAATATAAACATTAAAATCATGATTGTGAAAAGCACTGAATTTGAACTGACTATGCATGGCTTAAAAAGGAGGGCAAAGTTTTTTTTAAAGTTATAAAAGTTAGGACAAAGCATTCTTAAAGTAATGCTTATGGAACATTCTTATAACTTTATCAATATCTGATATACTGTATGTTCTCATAATGTTGAGAGAAAACATTCTTACAAAAACATTCTCAAAACATCCATACGATGTTATTTGTACTTGATGAACATACTAAGAAACGTTTTTGTAACCTTACATTATAATCACTGCAAGAAAACTTGATATTTTAAAATGTGAGAATATTAAAAATACCGTTATATTTTGGGTGAAATAAAGTTAGTAGAGTTTCTAAAGTTTAGATAATGTTCTAATCACAACAAGAAAACTGGACATTTTCATTTTCTAGAAACATTTCAAAACAATGTTCCCACAACGTTTTTATAACCTAAAGTTGTTACCTGTGATGGTGCTAGCAACACTGAGGCCTTGGGTTCGATTCCCAGGGAATACATTAAATGTAATGTAATTTGCTTTGCAATCTGCAAAATGCATGAATGAATATTTAAGTAATGGCTGATAATGAAAGCAGCTTAAATGTATGTACAGTGTACAAATGTACAGTGGAAAAATGTATTTCTTTTTGATGAAAGATTATGAAGACAAACACGTAATTTAGAATAACTATTGAATCAATCACACCAAGAACAGCATGTATTGGGTCAGTTTTGAGAGACACCAGATCAGGTCATTTTCCAAGCGGCTCCTGATGCACAAACAACACTCGTTTGCTGTTGTTTGTGTTCCCTGTATTTTTCCACAGAGCAGCGGAGACTTCATGCACCGTCCAGCCACAGTGGTTTCAAAAACAACTTTCTGGCACTCAGACCGAGAAATGCACTGCTTTATTTCCAGCGTATCAATCACAGTGCTCTGAATCAACAGCGGCGAGAATCCGAGCCCGAGGCAAACCCACAGATCAGACATGCAGCATCTCGTCTGATGGGATTAAAGAACTCATGCAATAGTTTGATGAGCACAATTCTTTCTTCATTTTTTAAAAATGCATCTCCTATTGAAATATGCAGCTAATAAGATGCACAATAAAAAAAGGCCTTTTGCATGGCCAGATATTGTGTTTCTGCATTTGACAAAACCACCTACTGTAGTTTAAAGTTCAGTTAGTGCCTTAAGCTTTTAAAGAACATTTCGAAGAATGTTTTGTAAACAAAATGTTGATGGTAGCCATTGACTTCCATTGTATTTTTTTTCCATAAGTCAATGGCTACTGTCAACTGTTTGGTTACCAACATTCTTCAGAATATCTTCTTTTGTGCTCAACAGAAGAAAAAATCTCTCACAGGTTTGGAACAACTTGAGGATGAGTAAATGAGGACAGAATTGTTATTTTTGGGTGAACTATCCCTTTAAATATAATCCAATTGGCTGTACAAGTCACTTTAACTTAAATCATATTAGTCTGATATGAAAAAATAAAGTTGAATGTCATAATTTAACCAATGAAGTTGAAATGGGTTAAATTATTTTGAATAGTTAGAGTAATGGAAAAAACATACAGTATGACTTATTAATCATATAATCTTTTCAGTGTGTTCAGAGCAAAACACGTCTCCTAAATGTCTAGCCATAACACACTTAGTCTATTTGTTGCTTTCTGTCAGAGTTGCTCCGTCAAAACTATTTTGTACTAATTATGTTTATGCATCTAAAAAATGTGCAATGTTCACAGTCAGATTGTGTTTGTTTGTTTTTTCGGCTGTTTCATTCAGATGATCTGTATAAATAATCTCATGTATGTCCACGAAGCGGTCAGATGGATGAGCAGCTGTGTTTTTCTCAGCGTAACCTCGTCCACCTTCATGTCTTCTCTCATGTTCTTGTGGTTGATGGAGAATGAAGGGTTCAGAAAACACCTACGCCATAGACCCCCGGTGTGCCACTATTTTGGGCTATTTTGCAAGCAATATGTGTACACAGGTGCTGCTCAGAAAATATATCTGTATTGAATAACTGTTTTCTGGACTGCTAATCAAATTACTTAGAAGTAGTGTACAGTAAAGGCAGTTTCAACAGTTGTTGAGTGGTGAGATGACCAAAATATTAAATGACAGCCTGTTTTCTGTCAGATTCTCACATTCACTCGCATGTTTAAGATTCAAAAGCATCACTGTTAGAACTTTGTTACAAACCTTATAACAGATGAGAGCAAGTGTAGGTTAATGACAGCTGAGATTAACAGGAAAAATCATTCTATGCTGCCATCTAGTAGAGATTTTAGGATCAAAATTCATTTTAAATATCCCAGTGCTGTCTGTTCTTTACATTGGCACAAACAGCGGATCCAAAAAGTATGTTTCACCTCGTTCACACTTGAACATAATATGTCATTCATTTGTAAAAGTGTACATACTTATTTTAACATAATCAGTAAAACTTCCTTAGTCAACCAGCTCTACCAAGGTTTTGCTGGAGACCAGTCCCTTACGAAAAAGAAGTTTATTCAAGTGTGCTATTAGTATACTTCTTTTAAACTAAAAATAGGAAAGTATACTTTTAGTCTACTTTTTATGTACTTCTCAGAAATATACTTAAAATGACATTTAAGTATACTTGACTTATACTTATGGAATAAAATGTCGACCAATGAAGAGGTAATAATAACTGTCAAGCTTTGGGGTGTTGATCAACTTTATCTACGTTTTGGTTATCATTCTGAATCCAGTTCATAGTCTTTTTTCAGCTTTTTGTTCAAAATGTTGTTTATTTCTTTATATTTTTTATTTATGAAACTTATCCACATTCAAGTGTTTCAAAAAAGAATGCATGAAACTAGAATAAAATGTTTTTGTTTACAAGCAGATACCCTGTTCTTTTGATGTTTGTATGTTCAGATATATAACAAAATATATACAAATTAATACCTAAATAGGGACATAGTAGTATACTTAAAGTATGATGTAAAGTTCACTAAAAGAAAACTTACGAGTATACTTGCAGTATAAAACTACTAAACTAGTAGTTTACTGAGACTATACTTCAAAGTGTACTAAAAATGTATTTAATTAGTAAACTATCAGTATACCTATAAGTTCACTTTTAGTATAGTTGCAGTACAAGCTAAACATTTTGATGTAAACTAGTTGTGTACTCAAAGTTTACTACTTTTATACTTAAAGCATACTTTTATATACTAGAAAGTGGGCCAATTTAGTCCCAATGAGTATTGAAATAGTACACTTACAAGTATACTACTAGTACACTGATATTTGTATATTTACTACATAAAGTATACTTAAAAATATACTTGAACGTTACTTAAGTATACTTACTAAAATAACCTTGAAGTATACAACTTTTTGGTAAGGGTAAATTAAAAAACAAAAACGTTTCAGGAAAAATGTTCCATGATAGATCCCGTTTTTGTGCTAACATTTTGAGAACATTATTAAAAACCAGATTGCTTTGAACGAATCTTCTATTAATGCTACTGGAAGAACTTTTTTCTCAATTTTGTTGAGAACGTTTAATAAGAGGAACAGGCCGAATTTTATTTTATATTGTTCATTGAAGGTACGTGTGACATCTGTCATATCTAGCTTGCTTTATAACTGTGTGTGTGGGACAGACAGTGTAATCTTGTTCAGAGAGAATAAGCGGCGCTGTCACGTGATATATGTTACTTTTCACTGCGCATTTTCAAGATGGACCAATCACAGTCGTTTATGATGAGTGGATTATTGTAGACGATTTTATAGAGATTTCAGAGGGGGATTTCCATTTGTATGAAATGAAATACCAATCGATTTTACATATAGATTGAAAGTATATAATCTTTTAGCGAATGGATTTTCTGAGCATCACGCGCCACCTTGAGGAAGAAACGTCATTTGACGCGTAACCGTGTGCGCATGCGCCTGCGGCCGCTGCGGGTTTTGCGCACGTGGACGCACGCGACGCGGCAGCATCGGAGGAATCCATAGCAACGGCGGATAAACATGAGTTACTACAGCAGGTAAGACACCGATGGAAACACAATTCTTAGAAATGATCCAAAAGCGACGGCGTTTGGGGAGCACTGCGTGCTTGTGCTTGTGTGCTTACATTCGTGTCTTTCGTAACTTTGCTGTGTTTTTTTCGGTGGGTCCTGTTGCGTTCCGCGCGTGCTGTGACGTGAGCCCAAGCTAAAAACACAAAACAACACACGCAGACTCTGCAGAAACACACAAATCCCAATCAAACAGCTGAATTATGAACAGAAACGAGGTGAAAATGAAGCAGGAGAGTGTGAAAGAACGCAGTCAGCTGGATTTGATGCGTGTAACGGTGGAGCAGCGGCTAGCTGGAGGATGATAGCAGGGAAAACATGAAAATATCGCTGTATGATCGACATTATAGTGCTAAATTAATAAATATGATGATCTGCAAAGCATCTGTAAATCACAGCAAACGCCTCGTGGCTGAATTTATCTTTATGAATTGGAAAATCTTTGATCAATCAGTGCAACAGGCTGTAATTCATTAACAGTCACTCAAATGAGAGTATGCGTAATTGTTACTAATACATATACATGTCATCAAATTGCCGTGACGTGGTCATGTGATGTAATTTGTACGTAATTACTATATGGATATGACGTCATAACATAGCTGCAGAAAACTGGACTTTTACATATATTTTCAGTTTACACAGAGTTTAAGGTTTCTGGCATTTTTACATTGTTTTCATAACAGTTAAGCCCCCTTTCTAATTGCTGCAATACCAAAATAATTTATTATTATTTTAATTGGGAAGTATTTATGCACTAATCAGGTATTTGTTGCAATTCCTTTACATTTTCACAGATTTAAAAATAATAATAATAATATGCAGTGTGTCCAAGTTTTACATCATATTTTAGAATCGTTACAATTCGAGGGGGAAAAATTGCTTAAATGTTATACAAATAATATCACATCACAGAACTATCCAAGTGACAGAGCAGTACTGCTTATCTATCAGTTTTATCCTCAGGAATTCGCATGAATTTTAGGATTAGGTTTGGACAACCATAAGTAAACAACGTGATATTGATGTTAGCAAAGTATTAATATATTACATTTTTATTAAAGGTGTTCATTTAAAAAGGTCATCGGATGCGACATGCACTTTTACAAGTTGTTTGAACTGAAATGTGTGTTGGCAGTGTGTGTACTCAACCACCCTATAATGATAAAGATCCACCTAGTGTGTTTTTTAAAATCTCATTAAATAATTTACCCTTTCTCAAATCGAGCCGATCTCAGATGCCTGTCTGTGTGA